TCCGATCTTAATTATTATTATTATTATTATTATTATTATTATTATTATTATTATTATTATTATTATTATTATTATTAAGCTGAAGACCATTGACCGTCTCTTATTCCTTAAAACATTAATCATTAATCAATCTGTGGCTCATATCAATATTGTGAGTTGTAGGTCTAATCCAGAGGTCTCTGTTCTGGATCTGTTGCATCTTCCCTTAAAAATTCTCTGGCTGTTGGCCTTCTCAACAAAACAATTTGGGAGATAAGCTATAGAAAACATGCAACAACACTGAATTTTTAATTTCACTACTTTCTGTAAAATGGTAAACATTTAAAGGAGGAAAGAACCCTGATAGCTAGTCTCTTCCAGGAGTGAAGTAGTAGGTGTTACCTCCACGTATATCTTCAAGCAAGGGTTGTGCCCTTCATAGTTTTCATAGTTTCTCTGTGAAACTACGTTACATTGGCAGCGAATGACTAAATATGGTCATAAAAAACTTCTTCTTTAACTTCCCTGAAAAACATTACCATTAATTTGTAGTGATTACTGTTCTTCTGTAGTTACAGTTACTTTGTGTTTAATGACTTAATGCTCTACATAAAAAAAAATGCCTACAGTGTATTATTTGCCCAACATGAATAGTGAATTAGTGTACTGTATTTAAAAAATGCATTTTGTTTGTCTGAGTTATTTAATTCTATTGATCCTGCATTTTTCTGCATTTTATTTCAGAGCAAAGTTCGTACTTCATACTTCAAAAAGTCTTTGCTAATATTAGAAAGATAAGATTCAAAGGGAAAGCTGCCATCAGTTAAACGTAATACATGGTGCCGCTGTGACTTCCCAAGTATCAAATTAACCCTGTGTTTAAAAAGACACGGGAGGAATTGATAACACCCAGCAGGAATCAGTGTTAAGATTGTGAAAGAAAACATGGACTTTCTGTAACACCATGATTGACCTGTTGCATTGCTTATGAAAGGCTAGGCGGTGTAGTGTTTCTCGCTAATCAAAGCTAGTGTGAGTGTGGCTGACAGGGGACATGGTGTAACTGACTTAATCAACTTTGCTTACATGAGATAGCAATAGTACATACAAAAACCGATATCACTAGGATTTCTTCAGCAGTTATTCAGACGCTATAAATTAATTAGAAATGTTGAAGTATGATTCCATTTTTTAAATTCTTAAGACGAGTTAATCCTAAAGAAAATAAAATATATTTGCAATCACAAATCTTGAGGCTTACATGCGTTACAATTTAATATACACAAGAATCTATTTTTGTTACAGGACATAT